AAGAAACATTCAATTTTAAGGTATTGTCCCTTTCTGTATCTTTGACATTAAATGAATGCCTTTAAACACACTGACATTTTGTAATATTGCAAAATGAACATGCAGTTTTGAGCAATCAATACAAATAGACCATCTGTAAAAAGTCAAGGAAGCATATCACCAAACCCTAAAAGAAGGATTGACAGGTTGAAGGAACAGAAAATGATAGACCCTTGCAATAACTTCCCCGCTCGTGGCCCCATTTCCAGTTCTATTAGCTCTATCGTCTTAAAGCAGGGCTCAGATCACATAAATCTCTTGCTCAAAAACCTTTGGGGTGGGGGGTATAAAAGGGCTAAATGGTAATGGAAAAATACAATAAAAAATTAAAACAATAAAAATTCAGTTATGCAAGAAGAATAAATTCTAGATATCTGTTAAAAAACATGGTACCTACAGATGACAACACTGTATTGTATAGTTAAACATCTGTTAAGAGAGTAGATATTATATTAAGTCTTTTTACCACAGTAAAAGAAGTAGAGAAACTTGTAGAGAGTCCTGTTACCTACCAAATGTAATGCAAAACTGTCATCTAAGGACTGAATAAAGTTCCTGAGAAATGCACCCCCAGTTCTCATTTCCACTCTTATTTCCCTTTCATGCCCATGTACAGCATAGGCTCAACCAGATTAGATTATATGCTGCTCCTTGCAAAGGCTCTCAGAATTCCCTTTATTGCTGCCTTTGCACATGCCTATTTCATCTACACATCAACCCATTAATGAACTCAGTAAATATTCGGCATTGTCACTGTTTCAAGCACTGTTGGGGGAGAGGGGTGAATATGGAAGTTACAATAATTGACTGCTCAGGAAGCTTACAATCTAACAGGAGTCAAACACTTATTAAGGTACTATTAAAGTGTTGTGAAGGTAAAGAGAAGGGGAGAAGGAGAGAGAGAAAGAGAAAGAGACTCTGGTGACAGACTAGGAAAAAGATACTGAAGCACCCCTAGAAAGCCTGGGTAGTGTCCCTGGAGGAGTTCAGTGTTTATGAGAGATAGGCCACAGAAGAGGACAGGACACCAGAGGGCACAACGAAAAGCAAGGCAAGCTTGGGACAAACAGTGTGGTGTCTGCAAACTACAAGTGGCTTGTTGTATTGGAGCATAAAGATTGAGGCTACCAAGACCGAGAAAACTGCTCTCTTCATGAAAGAACCCATATTTTGTTTCAGGCTGAACCCCTTTATGAGTCACTTACAACACTCATTTTGAACTATATTTATCTTCTCTCATTTAAAAGTGGTCAATGTTCATTTTCTTTAAGTCCTCTGCAATTTCTTTTGGCAATGCTTTTAACCATGGTAAGTTCAGTATGTACTTTCTGAATGAAATCGAGAATCATGCAAAATCAGGCAGAGGTTGCAGCAAATATATAAACACTATCACCATTTAAAGAAAAATGAATGAAAAAAACCATAGTTCTCAGGTTATTAGAAGAAAACAGGTTTGCATAAACGACAATAAAACATCTCAAGTGAATGTATTACAAGATCTTACAGTTTTCTTTCCACTGTAGAATTACATCATGAAGGAGATATATAGACAACCCTAATACCATTTGACAGTATCTGTATTCAAGTGTAATTCTAACAAATTGAGTAATTTTACTAAAATGAGGTCAAGATCTCTGCTGGTTTTGTTTGGGGGAAGGGGAATAAGGACTTCTCAGTAGTCGTAGTTAAAGTGCAAATGAAGAGTGTTAAAATAAACTTCACTTTTATGGAAACACTTAAAAATATTGTGCCAGTAATTTCCATTATGTAATACCTACTTTATGTGAACAATGTGACAAAAATATCTAGGTCTAATAAATAATGACTAAATTATGGAAGATATTTTTTTGAAACACTGTAGATTAAAAAAAGATATTACTAGTTTAATGTTTTTTTAAAATAGTTAATATTTGAGTGTGAAACTATAAAGTGGTATAATTTAAAGATTAAATTGTATTGTGTTTAGCATTTCATGAAAAACCAAACATTAAGGCTCCCCAAATCTTGTTTCTTTCTTAAAGCATCTCGTCACCCTCATCTATGTTCTTTTCTTAAAAAGAACCTTAATCTTTTTGCTTTGCTTTTCTTCTCCTTTCACATAGGTAAAGCACATCTCTGTGTCTAACCTGGGTCACATTATCTTTAGTTCAATGCAGACAAGCATATGGTCATCTAAAAATCGTATTCGATACAACCTTGCTTATTTCCTTACCCTTCACTTTGGTTGTTTTTGCTCATATGTGCAGAATAAGGACAGGAAAGAGTAGATGAATTCTTCCTCTCTGAATTAGCTTGAGAAGAATACATACACACACTTTTTTAAAAATCAGAATATATTGTGTATTAGAAATGCATTGTATTTGTCTTTTCTACATTAAAAAAATAAAAGAAGTAAGCAATATGATTAATTCAGTAGGAAAAAGTTAGTCCAATAAGTTTTTCATGGAATTAACTATTTCCTTGACTAGCCAATCAACTTTCTTTAAAGACTCAATTTTTTATTTTCATATTACCACAAGTTTCATAAAAATATTTAGAGATAGATATCAATTGCAATCAGAAACACTTCTTTTGAGTAAAAGCTTTAAAACTAGGCATAGATAAATATAGTGACTTTTAAAGTGCTGTTTAATCATGCAAGTTTATTAAAGATGGTTTTATTAAAACAATAAGACCCAGAAAGAGTGTGCTAATTTTGCAGAGAATGAATCTTTTTGAAAAACAAAGTTGAGTTTCATCTTCCTTTGGGAAAAACTAATTGGAGAAATGCAAACTTTTATGTATACTTTATGTATACCTCCCCCTCCCCCCCCAAAAAAAGTTAGAAATAATGGGATGACAAATTCCACTGTGGATCTTATTAGTTATGCAAACCTCATAATGGATGTTTTGTTATGTACCTTGTTTTCTGGGAGTTTATGTGATTTTGGGTGATTTTAAGCTCTACATAAATATATAGTACTCTTTTAAATAGTTTCCCTTTCTTTGACTCTAAAATTAATTATATATATTTGTATGTTAAATGATAGATTCTATAACCTGCATTTCAAATGAATATGTAGGAACTGAAAAAATAGTACTTCTTTATTAATAAATCCCTGCTAATCACACTTCTTCCTGCCCCCATTTAAAAGTAGGGCTTATTTTGTGTGTTACTGGAAATGGATTGTTTTAAGTCAATCATCAAAATACATTGTTTTTAACTCAGTGGATATTCCATTATATGTATTTTATTCAGTATTTTGGTTTACAAGAAGAACTGTAAATTCAATACTATGAATTTAGTGTTAAAGATTGATGAGCTTTGTTTATTTTTTTTAAATGAACAGGGACAGAGCAGGTTTGCTTGAATTGCACAGAACATCTGCTGTGTCTACAGGACTTCTTGTTGTCATTCTTGAAATGGGCAATAATTGGAATTGTAAGATCTTCACGGTTGTTGCTGCTGTTTAATTCATCTGTAGTCAGTCCAACAGTGACCCATAGATATTTTCCTACACTTACATCTTTGTGGTGAAACCCAGTGGATAAGTTTTCATAATATCATTTTCAAAGCTATCTTGTAATATATAACTAAAGAGGCTTCAGTGTTCTCTGCTACATCAGAATAAAGTTCCTCTGTTTTATCTTGAAGTCTGGTTTTTAAAAATGCACAGAAAGGTCAAATCCATTCCAAAGAGAAATCTCATTCCTTAGAAATATTTGGTAAGATTTTGAATCACTTTTCTTTTGTCTTTTAATCCTGTCATCTGCCTGCATTTAACTAAAATAATTTTTCTTTTTCATCTTGTTAGCTAAATGCATCTGTTCAATGGCTAGTTTTTCAAAGGTAAGAAAATCACAACAGGAGAAGGAAATTAATTTCAAAGTGTATATTTGGTGTTTTTAAAATGCTTTTTATTTCATCATGGAGAGACACAATTTAGTCTATTAAATCTACAGCAGAGAAGCAGGGAAAATGTGAGGAGAGTCAGTCCTAAACAAGTACATTTTCTTTCCTAACCTTCAAAGGTAATATTTTCAGCTTGATGTGCTCCTGGACGAATATATAATTTGCCTCTTTCATACTTAGCTTGGTTGAAATACAGAGGACTGGATGTCCACTAGGCCAAAGTATAAACTTACCATTTATGTATTAAAGTCATATTTAATGAAAACGAAGAGAAATTATTACCACACTCACTCTTTCGCATTACAATTCCTAAAGAACTTTGCAGGGCATATTATCTCATAGACATCATGATCAAATGTTATTGTTTGCTTTATTATCTAAGTTGGATGGTTGGCTAGTCTAGAATGAAATAGGTTGAAGGCAGCACTCGAAGCCTAGAAGTCTGAATGAGGTTCCCATTCAAATCATCCTGGTTGTATGGGGTGGGGCGGGGTGATTAGTAAGCCAACTGAGCTTACACTGTATAGTAAGCATCTGGATGCAGCACATTTACATCTAACAAGAGAACCCACAAAACGTGTGTGTTTCTTAAACCTTATGTTCCGAACAAAAGGCTATCTCAGCAACAGACAATCAGCACTGCATTGCTCCCTGGGATGCGAGCAACACACTCAACTGCACATTTCATTCTTCCTTAGCTCCCAGCACTACAAAGCCCCTACTCTCTTCCCACTCCTGGGTCCCAGATTGCTCCCTAGAAGGGGGCTGGGAAAGCAGCCTAACAGCTCTGCCTGCGCACTAGCAGCCCGCACCCGGGGCCCCCAGGCGCTGCGTCCCCTGCTCAAGCCGCCTGGGGGAGGTAGGGAGGGGAGCGAGGGAGCGCGAGAAAGGACCGCACACCTAGACACTTATGATTTTATTTATTCACAGGGAGGCGGGGTAAGAGAACGGGGTTCATTCCGATTTCTCTCCCGAAGTTGCCCATACTTGGCCGATAAAGTCATTTTTTGGCTGGTGCTGGGGGCCCAGGGGAGAGTGTGGGTGAGGTCCCGGCTCTCAGGGGCAGATCTTGTCCTGTGCGCCGAATCCAGAAGGGTGGCTAAGGGTGGAAGGGCAGCAGCTGTAGAGAGGGCCAGAAGCGGGCAGGGAGGGGTCCGCGGGCCAGAGAGCCGCGCAACCCTGTCCTGGGCCCTCCAAGGCTGGCTGGGGAGCGCACAGGCCGGCTGGTCACTCGTGGGAAGGAAAGGCCCCTTCCCCGTAAGGCATTACTCCCCTTTCCCCAGGCTGGGCGGCCTGAGAGTGCAGGCGGAGAGAGCTCCGGGTCCCGCGCTCGTAATCATGACCTCGGGGCCCCCTCCGGCCTGCGTGAGCGCGTCGGCGAGGCTGGGCAGCCTCCGCGGCCAGGGCCGTGTAACATGACCCGAGCGGCCGGCCGGCCACCGCGGCGCGGCCATTGAGCCCTCCCTGCCCATGAATCTCTGGCGCGTCTCTAGCTCTCTCGCCAGCTCGCCTCCTGCTTCCCTTTCTCCCCCTCCAGCTCCGCGGGCTCCGTGCGCCTCTCTGTCGCGGTCCTCCCGCTGCCCGTCTCTCTCCACTGCCCGCCTCTCGCCACCGCCTCCCGTCTTCTCTCCCTCACGGCAGCCTCCGTCTCTTTCTCCCTCTCTCCTTTGAAAACTGATCTTTGGCTCTTAGTGTGAAAGTGATTTGAATTTGGCTCGGTGGCGCTCTGCGCCTGCGCCCAGCCTCTGGCATGCTGGCTCCTTCCAAGCAGCTGTTTTGGGTTTGAAATTCCAACATGGCAGAGGCTGCAGTCCGTCTTCCCTTCAAAAACTTGGAATGATTTCAAATCATAGGCACCTTCACTTAACCCAAGCTTCCATTCATCAGCAAACACATCGGATCGATGCTACGCTAACCTATCGGCTTTTCGCTCCGCGCGTTCAGGTAAGAGGAGCTTCGTAGTTTCCTACCATCTGTTTAAATTTGTTTTTGTTTATGTTTGTTTTATTTTAAAATAATATAAATAAATCCAAGACCTGTAATAAAAAGAGATCTTCGAGTTGTGTCGTAACCATTAAATTTAATTTGCACTCGTTTATATTCTGTACGCCAACCTGCTGTCTAATTTCTCTGTACAAAGTAGCAATGAAACATTATAATGCATATTTTTGCTGCTTAATCATTGAAACAATAGTGTGGGATTAAGAGTTCGCGATGGCAAGAATCTCGTTTTCCGCTATATTGGGCTTACTTATTACTATCTTTTTACTTCAAAAATAAAAAAAAAAAATAAGAAAGCGGAGCCATAGGGTGGGGCTAGACTTTCTTCGGGAACTAACTTCTAAGTAAATAAGAAGTGTAAATAAGGATCTTGCACACACAAAAAGTTGAGGTTAAATTACAATCTCGTGGCTGGAGGGACGTGAAAATGTCAGCAGATCGGTTGCAGAAAAATGTAAGCACATCATCTTGGAGGGGGTACAGCGTGGTGGGCGTATTGTTGGCAAGGAACGGGAGAGAAAGATGTATAATTTAATGGTATATACAATCCACTGATCCTATTACCATCCTCCCCGGAGCTCTTGTTAGTTTCAATGGGAGTGAGTGAAATTGACATGGACTTGCATTCCTGGTCCTGTGCTTTTTTTCCTTTCTTTCTTCTCCTGTGATCTGAGATCCCCTTTTTGTTGATGTTGCTTTCCCCCTTAATTATATGCATGTAGGTTAAATGAATACCTGACGAAAGGGCCCACGTTTCAAGGCAGTGACATTTGATAGCTGAGAGGAAAAGTGGCTTTAATGAAAAGCAACCTTTGGAATTCCTGCTTGTGAGAAATCCAATTCAGCTTTTTGTGCTGCCAGCAAGAAATGATCAGTAGCACCAGTGTTTATGGTATGTCAGTTTTGGAATTTACTTCCTTTGCATCTAAATAGGAAAGAGAAATTAAATAGCATGATCAAACCATTGAAAATTCTGCTTGGGAAGCAAATGCTCATGATACATAATTCTTTTTTAAAAAATATGTATATTTTAACCTGTCCAAATGCTTGTTTATTTTTGCTATCACTTGTTTATATATTTCAGCTTATTACTAGATTACTAGAATCCACTTTTATCGGTTTTAGCTGTAATCCCAAAGTTGCATGTTACTAGTAATGCACTATATAATCGCTGAAGTCAAATGGTATGTAAATTAGTTAAACTCAGTGTGGGGTTTTTTGGGGAGGGGGCAGGGTGGAGAGGGGAGAGGGCGGGAGTGTGGGGAAAGACTGCTTACTAATGAAAGTATATATATGTACACACACAGAACTGGGTGAATTTTTTTTCTCAGTCTATTAGTGCAATGGGACTGTCGGCTCTCTCAATGATTGCACTTTATGGAGTAATCAGTTCTTCTAAGTGTGTGTGGTATTCTTTTGGGGGGAGAGTGAGTTATGAAGGGATATCTTTTACATGAAAATAAAAATATATTTTGATTACTGAAAAGTCCTTAATACCTTGTAAGGAACAGTGGTAGTTATTTTTTTTTCTTTGCTTGCCATTCACTTGTCTGTCAGCGCTTTTTACTTTTAACCTGTGACAGAATTAAATAATCAGACACTGAAATTTACTTTGTTTGAAATCGCTCTTTCCTCTTTCTTTTCAAAAAAAAAAAGGTCAGATAAATGGAGTGAGGGGGTTTTCAATAGCTCTTGTGACCATGCCGTGTGTATACTTTGTGATATTCAATTAAGACTAAGAGGGAGCAACAACAACAAAAAGATGCTAAAAGTATTTTGCATAACCAAAGGATACCATCCACTTTAAACTGTTTCTTTTTTGTTACATCTACTCTACCACCATGCATTCACCCTGAAAAAAGAGAAAGAAGGAAAGGGAGAATATGAAAGAAACAAATAGCAGTGGGGCAAAGCTGCCAGGGGTCTGTAATGTGGCCGTGGTTACTGCTCTCTCATAACACAAATGTGAATACAAGGAAAGAGACTATAGGAGCCGATCTGCGACATACACTTCTGGGTGGACTCTAGTGACTATCGAGCTAAACACACACCACTCTTACATGATAGGAAGGATTTGATTGAATTTTGCATTTGGAACTTGTTGACTTTGAAGCGATCAATAAGAAGACTGTTTATTTTAGATGCACATAATTTGCCCTTAGAAATGTTTTAAGGAGGAGAGAGCACAGCTTTTCTTCCCCCGGAGCTGTTGGAGCGAATGGGATTGCCAGATGGGCGATTTCCCTCTGTGATGTTAAAGCTGTAATATATATTCAGAGCAGATTGGGCTGCTGCCTGTGATGAGGAGGATATTACATTTATAAATTTTAAATTGGAGTTCAGACAATGTGCTGAGAGCAGAAATTGGATGGTTTGACTGTTTACCTCATTGATACTTTAAATGTGATTTCTGGGTAGTAGTAATAATAATAATAATTGCAATAATACATAAAAAACACATTGGTTTAGACAATCAAATAATTCATGACATTTAAGAGCAGATTCATGTGTGCAAATTGCCCCCCACCCAGGCTCTACATACTATTAAGTAATAGTCATATAATTTATTTCCCTGAGTGTTTAAATGCCTGTTGTGCAAATGATGTTCACTCAGGAGCCTTGCTATCTATCATACACTAGAATTCTAGGAGGAAAAGTTTATATATATGTCTATAAAGTAGGTACTTGTGTATATGTATAAAGTAGCATTAATGGTTCCTATTTTGTAATTCTGTTACTCTGATTATTTTTAGATTGTGTCTCAAATGTGTGGCCTAAAGGAACCAGAGCTACAAACCTAAAAGGCTGGAAAGTGGGCAAGTGCTGACACTCTGGCAGCTCTGCTGTTGCAAATTAAAAGTGTGTTGTGGTCAGGAAATGAAAGCTACAATGTCTCTTTTGAACAAGTCGTTTATCAAGAGAAACATCTATCAGGGACTGCCTTGTCACATTGATCCTCTAAAAGTTAGGTCCGAGGTGGAAGCTGCTTTGATGTTTTTGATCCTAAATTTAATACAACAGAAAAAAAGCAAGGATATTTGGACCAGAATAGATTTTTAAAAAATGTTTCCTGGAACCAAGATCTATTTATTAGTATTGTACTATGTGTGAAGTTTTTTGAACACAACAGTTGAAAAGTTGAAGGGGAAACCCCAGCCTTTATAAATGGCTGGTTGTTAAAATATATATTTATAGTATATTCAGCTATGGCTGGCTTCTTGGTTCACATGGACATTTTGAAAATAGATTGCATTAAAGGAAAAATTATCTTGAAAATGTGTTTCGGAGCAATTTGCAGAGATCAGAGCTTTCATTCATTCAAATTTTAGAGTTGCCCTCTTCCTTTCTTCCTCCTCTTTTAATGCTTCATTTCTATTTCCTGTCTTCATTCCATGTGTGACATATTAGCTTTTATTTGGAACATAAGCATTAAGCATTTTTTCTGTAAAAACCATCTCTCCAAAATATGCTTGCTCACATCATGTCTATTGTTCATTAATTGTGCCTGTGGATGGTTATCAGTATAAACTACATGGACTCATGAGGCTTTCAGAACTTCAGATTAAAAATATAGGTAGGTAACAGATTAAATATGCTATATATTCTTGAATACTGAGTATGTTGCACGTGTTATTCAAGTGTTAAAAGATATTATTAAGAAAATGACCAAGTTTAAAAAATGTGGTTTCTTTCTGTGTGTGTGTGTGTGTGTGTGTGTGTGTGTGTGTGTGTCTGTGTGTGTGTGTGTCTGTGAAAGCTGTTAAGAGCAGCCTGTTTCATTTTGGAAGGCAAAAGACATGAGAGGAGTGTTTCTTCTTTGAAATAGAGTTTTTGGATACTTGTCTTACACTGTTGGTGGCTGCTTGCTAGTTCATACGGGTCTATCCACATCTAGGCTGATAGACCACAATGAGTGTGGTGGGAGTTTTGGGAAGTGTAATACTTGCTAATTAATCATGTCTGAAATGAAAGAATCATAGCAGGGTAATAAAGTCTCATTGTTGTTTTCCTGGAAGAAGCTAAGACTTCTGTTTGGAAGCTGTGTGTGTGAGTTGACTTGCTTTTCTCTTTTCTTAAAAAGACAGTTTATTAGGGTCTCTTTGGATTTATTTCAGGAACCATCTTTTTTTAAATTTTTTTGAAAACAGAATAGTTTTCTTTCTCCTCATTGTACCAAATCAGTAAGACTCTTAAAATTGTCTCTGATATCTTCTGAGTGAAAACATAGAATGTTTTTCTCTAGTTATACTAAAGACTCCAGCTGCTAAGTTTCTAGTACCATTTTTTCCATAAATAGAAAATCCTTTTTTTTTCTGTTTTTATTCATGTTAGGCAGGAATTTTGAAAATCTTTTTGTAGGCAAAGTACTTATGACAGACATACAGGAGAGCAGAAATTTCATTAATTACTTTTTGATAGCAGAAGAGTGTGGCCAGAGGGGAGAAAAAAAGTAGGATTTCCAAGAATCTGTAGAGAAAATCTTAAGAAAACTTGAGATTTCTAAGAGAGTTTAAAATATTAACTGCCTGAGAAGATAAATTAATTATATCATCATAGGTAAAATCTTTCTTTTTCCATTGAATTTTGGACTGTTACCTTTTAGAATTTAAGATTTTATTGTCTCTTTAATTTAATCTTTATTGTATTTTTTACATTTAGTCCCCTTCTACCCCTGCCCCCCAGCTATCACCACACTGTTGTTCATGTCCACAAGTCCTTTTTTGCTCAATCCCTCCACCCCCTCACCACCCCCCCAGCTGTCATCCTACTCTCCATCTATGAGACATTCCAAAAGTTTATAGTGTCTGCAACATTTTTCAAAATTTTACCTTAAGGTGAAGATGGCTATGCTAATGATTCCCTCTTTTTGTCTGTTTAGATGCCTTGAATGATTGCCTCATTAAGTAATCAGTTTCATTGGTCCCAAATCAGCAGAATTGCTATGTGTATTTGAAACAATCGCAGGCTCTCGTGTTTTGTACTTTCTAGTTTGTTCCTAGAACCTGGTTTAATGGAAATGTTTGCTGCTTTGCTATTGATCAATATGTTTCTAACTACAGATGTCACATACTACTTTTATAAAGTACCACATTTATTGTTGTAGAGCTAATAAATTTAATTACCAGGAATTTAAATTGATTTATGAATTTTTGATTGGGAAAAATTGTTCTGCAGACATTTGTGTGAAATATTGATGAATGCTACTGATCAATAAGACTTGATTAATCAGCATATATGCTTTTATATCTGGAGTCATTGATAAACCACAATAAATGGCACAGTAAACAATCCATAATTTGTTTTTAATGAAAAAATTAATATAATTGTCACTTTCTTTTGGGATATACAAAAGCTAGTTTTTATTAAAAACAATTAAACTTAGAAGATATTTTTAGAAACTATCTGGAAGACTGCAAATCTAAAAATTATTCCACCTTTGAATTATCTCTTATCTCTCCCTCCCTATCCACACCCGTGGATTCTATCTAAAGTTTTGTCTGTTAAAAATGAAAGACTTTTTTTCCAAGACTGAAAACAAATTCCTGTTTATCAAGCATTTTTTATGGTTGGATTTTATCATTTTATTACTTTTTTTCCTAAACTTGCCTCTTTATTATTAACTCTTCTTTTAGCTTTTGGTAGAAATTGCAAGCATAGGTGCTCTGGCATGATTGTTGATTAGTGATTCTTTTGATGTTTTTGATGGTATTTAAATGGCAATTGTACTTGAGGGATGCTTGCTACAAGGAATGCATATAGTGGAAATAAGGGATAGGCAAGGATAGGGTAAGAATAAATTGCACCGATGAGTTTGAAACAAATCAAGAGCAGGTGGGTATGCTGTTTCCTTAGGGCAGCACCACAGATGCCTGCTCAGGAAGCTCTGCCTCAGCACAGCACATGCATACGGTACCTGTTGAGGATGGTTGTAGCTGAGAGACTGAGGCAGCACAAAAAGATAGGTGATCAGAAACCCTTGAAACATGAGATCTCATATGGCCCTTTCTGTTAATAATATTTACATATTTCATGCAACAAATCTGCTTGTTGTCTTGTTACTTGAATATTGACACTTCACTTAACATTGCATATGGTAGGCTGTCATTTCAGGGTATATTAGAAACAATAAATTCAAAGGAGAATTTTAATCAGACATATTTATGTTAAATATAAATATATTAGATATGTTTATTTATATTTGAGCTCCCGTGATTTTCACAAAGCATAAATAGTATCGCCGCCTCCAATCATTTTTAGAACTGATATATTTTGAGAGTAGAATGATGATTTATTATATGAAAGCCCAAAGTTAAACTTTTTTAAACACTGCAACCCACCTTAAGTATATATGTTTTTATATTAGGAAATCTTTTTTAGAAAGTATTTTTTAAATAATCTTGGAAAATTTTCAGCTTATTAGGATTTTGTTCCTGTTTTTATATCATGGGTAGCTTTTGTTAATCGTTATTAGTGATATATAACTTAAAAGGAAAATTTTTTTACTACAGAATACATCGTGTATAGTAAATATACAATGTTTTCTTTTCCCCAGTATCTTAATGTAGAAAGTAGTTTTATTCAGATTCTTTGTATATAGTTATTCTATTCCACTTGTGGATATATTTCTGACAAGAGAACAGAAACTGAATTTTACTTCACCCACCAGAAGAAAAACATCATATTTTCCCCAATTCAACTAATGTGTGCGTTACGTTAATTGGATGCTTTTTTAAAAAAAAGCAACTAAAAATTGATTAAATGCCATATACGTATGACAGTCAACTCATCTAAGAATGAGTGAGCTCTACTTGCATGCTTTGTTTTGTGAGGAAATATTATTTGTGGAAACAATAACGTTCCAAATAAAATTTTAAAAGTAGTATAATGTAAGGTCATTGATTCCTAGATGTTGCTGTGACCTTTTTGCTATTCTTTTTTTTACCGTCAACACATATTTTCACTTTCACCTAGAACTGGCTGTGTAATTCTGGTGCTTGATGCAAAATTAAAATGTGGGGCACCTTGTTCAAAAAGTAGTAAGAATTTGAGACAGCATCGGTGGGGCATGAAACCAAGTGCAGGGCCCTTCTGTAGGGGGGGACCCTGTGGGCCTACAGAGGACTCAGGGCAGCGAAGCTAGCCCTGCCTTCACGACCCACAAACTTCTATTCAGGGCCTACTTCATGGGAGTCACTGGGTTTCCTACTTAGCGGCAGACTATTCTGCAGTGTGATTCCATGTGCTTCTGCCTAAAGAGACGCTAAAGGCTGTTGAGTAAGAGAATTGATGGGAAAATGGACCTTTAGGTATTTTCTGCTTTTCATATACATGAAGTGATGACTTAAACATTATCTCATGTTGCCTTTTGTTTGGCACGGGCTCCCATATATCACACGAATTTTGCAAAATATTCTTCAAAGAAACTCTGTATCTTGTCATTGTCTGCACACAGGTATCACTTATGTATGTATTCCTCAGGCGCAGGATAATTGGGAAGGGGGGAGCATTTTAGTAAGATTTGTGAGAAGATAAGAAACCGAGAGTTTCTCAGTTGGCATGCACCAACACTGCCACGCTTGTTTTCAAGCACAAGTAAAATAAGTATTTTTAATGTGGAGTCCTAAATTATGTAAAAACAGAAAATCTTGACTACTAAAAAAGAAAACACTACTCTGAGTGTTAGTAAGGGGAAAGGGGCAAACACAAAAATCAGTGTCTTGTTATAACAGTAGCAATAGTGTAGTTGTACAAACGTGGTGACAGATGTGGTACAGGTGAAAAGTAACTCTTCGAATATAAATATAATATAACTTTGCAGTATGTTATATTCGAATTGTGAACTTGGTTTCTGAACTTGGATGGGAATAGCCCTGGTCCCCCTGAGTCATGTAGTCACTCTCTGTGACTACTTTCCCCTTTGCTGTGAACGTTTTGTGTTGACGGATGGACAAAACGATTATGTTGTTGCTTCCCAAGATACTTCTCAATGAGATCAAACTTCATATTGAGATACCTAAAACTAAGTTTTGAAGTCAAACACCTTTTTCAAATCAAAACTGAGATATGATGGAATGTCCAGCAAGTAATGGATCTGAGTGCACTTGAAGTTGCACCATTTATTTTCAAAAGATATTTCTCACATCAGATGACTCTGCCAGGAAGGGAAATATCAAAGACCTCAGAAAAGCAACTATCCATTTATGTAATCCAAGACTGGGGTGAGGATGGGGGGCTTTAAAGATATTTCTGAAGAAGAAAAAATGGAACTTATTTTGAATTACTTGTTAGACTTCATGAAGAAAAATACTATATATGAGACCTCCTAAGAAGAAAAAATTCTTTGCCCTTTGTAAGAACAAGGCATTGCACTCTCAGGCGAAATGCACTTTAATGAAAGAAAGCTTGGAAATAAATATTACACCAGCAACCATTTAATTATAAGTTCACCCCACTGTTTAGGAGCCATTTGCATTAAAGACACTGTAAACTTGAAATATTTTAATAAATAGTTAGCCACAATACAATTTTTAAGTGAATCTTCTTTTTTAAAAAAAATATTGATTTTTAGAGAGC